GGGTAGTTTTAGTCGATTGCTACGTTTCAAATAACTTCAATTATGGCCTTTGTATAATGAATACATTACATGCTTTAACTGTGATTGCCCGGGGCGGCGGATATTCAATTTAGAGGCTCTTTCGGGTACGAGCGCCGCGGCACAGTCGCGCCCCGCAACGCTGGGTCCCTTTGATAACGGGCGTGTGAATTGCCCTATCTGCCCTACCCGCCACCGCAGGCTGCCCTAAATTTACATTTTAATTGAGTCATCGAGGGGAGGGGAGAGTGCACCGGAAAATTTCCAAATGGATTAATTGTGTTCTCCGACGGCTAGAGACGTGCTTGGGATCTAGAATGAGTTAGAATTATGACTCGACGACGGTTTATTGCAGTGTTTTGAAAGGAAAATTGACTTTGATGTCAAGCCAAGCGTCGAGGGCCTTTATATTTTTTAGTATTAAAGGTTACTAAATATATCTACTAAACCCGAAACTAAACCATAGTATGTAACGTAACGTAGTACATGTAACAGTGTACTTATGAATGGAGACTCAGTGTACGTAAGTACTTACGTGGTTAAGTACCGCAGCATCAATAATGTTCTTTTATTGTTAAGAAACAACCCCGAAACTTGTGATTTTTAGAATACAAACCGATTTTTCGTGTTTGTTTACCGATGGAACCGAATCAAATAAGTACCATAAACTCTGTCCAGAAGTGAATTTGTATAAATATATATTGTTTCTGCACCTATTTATTACACGGAATGGATTACTTTCAATATTACTATATTTTAGTAATCTTATAAAAAACAAATAAACTGTAATACGAGTATACCTGCCACTGAAATTTCAGCAACTGGAGATATCAGTGGAATCCTTATTTAGGATTCCACTACATAGGGTAAAACCGGGATAAATGCCGCAGTGGGGTGCCTCGTTTTCAAAAAACTTAACTTCCCCAAATCGCACCAAAGAATAATTAGTTTAAATAAGAAGTATAGACACCACTCATCAAAGTTACTGCAGGGCTTCATGTGGAATAGACGCGTTTGGCTTGTGCATGCGTTTATCTTCGCGACGAACGCGATTTAAACGCGGTTCAAAATTTCAGACGCAAGTATTTACTGTCTCATAACTATGTAAGTTACAATAAATTACGTTTTATTTGTATTATAACTATACACTAGTTCATTAACTGCGCACCTAGATGTCAATAATCGCTCTTTTGTATATAGCTTATTTACATAATAAAAAATCTATCCATATCGAATAGGATAGTCGCCTCGATTTTTCACGGTATCGGTGCCCTTAGGAGCAAAGGACAAAACAAGGAAGTTAGGAATAAAAAATAAAAAAATACATTTATTTATTTTTTTAGTGAAAAAGATGTAAATGATAATAGTTTAAAAGTAATTAAAAGTACCAAAAAGACAAATTATTCACAGTTCAAACAGAGAATATTTTTGCATAGAATGTTTTGATAGCTACAAAAATACGAAGTCAAGTAGGTAGTAACTTTAAATACGTATATATTTATTATTAAAGATGTAGTAAGTATGTATATACAATATATTAAAGAATACAAGTAAAACATTTTATTATGAATTTTACTATTTTATTCTAAAGGGCATTTATCCTTCTTAGTATTTTCATTGTGTGGCGTCTATCCATATAGGTAGGCATCTATTCTCAAAAAAATAGATTTGCAAAAAGTCAATTTCTTCAAAATCAGTAAATGTTCATAAATCAATAAAATCAAGTATTAATGTAATGTAAAAGATCAAACTAGTTATATCCATAGAAATAATTCGAGGTAAACTAATAATTTTTAAATTAGGAGGCCCTTTCAAAAAGTGGGGCATCTATCCCGGTTTTACCCTATGTAAATTACAAATGATGTATGATGTTTTTAGTTATATGTGAAAAAAATTGCCGAAATTCAGTGCGTTTGAAGTCAATTTTCCTTAAAGTTTGACTGCAACAGAAACGAAAAACCGCTGAGTGAGTTTGGTGAGCACGGTGTTTTCTGACAGAGTGCGCTTTAATGAAATTGAGAAGACTCTATCGTTTACATAATCCGATCGACATGTTAGATGCGATTATATTTCTAAGAACAGGTAAAAAAGGCGCATTTTTTTTTCGTTTTGATTTACAGACAGTCACTCGTTAGAAAATAATAAAACAAACGTTAAGTGCCTAGTCGCATCCGGTTCCGGCGACGCGCTGTCTGCGACAAGCGGACAAAAAATATCGGCCACCAGCGCTGAGGACAGCCACACAACTATTGGCGCTACTTCACGTAAAATCAGGACGCGAAAACAATATTATTTTATTATTGATTTAAAATGACAAAGCTATTCACATTTTTCACAGTACTAAAGATGACCGGTGTAGAAAGGTCCTCAAGTTGAGAGTACCTACTCGTATTTTCTCAAAAAACCAACAAATTTTAGTTTTGATGGTAATAAAATAACAGTTATATTACTTAACTGTTAAATGACACCAATAAGTAATATAATTTTGTGCCAAACAACCACACCACCATAACCACATTACCTGGTTCCTAACTGAAGAGTTCCCTTATAAGAAGGTATGCACTATGAATATCAGAGCCACACCCCGGACAATCCATACAACAGTCGAAAATTATTTACCTACTAATACTACATATAGCAAGGTGCTATCTGCACACGCGCAAATGTGTGCGTGAAGTGGCAGGGTTACCCATTACTTACTCGTACTATTTATTACGTTACGTGGTCAGAGCGATAATCTGTTATCTATGATTCTATTATAGAATCCTAATGTTCCTTACGTATTTATATCGATATAATATTATACTTTTCATTAATTCACTAACTGGAATAATATTGAGGATTTATTTTAAAAATATATTCAAAGCACTTAAAATGTTATATTTTGGACAGGTACCTTTAAAGAAGATAACCAAAGTATTTGAAATTGCGTGTTCAAGTTTATCATTACCTAGTTAATAATTGGGTACCTATATTCACTACGTAATACTTTATCGGCAATACAAATTGAAAATTCGAGAACCCTTCTCTAGCTCACGAAGTTGTGGCGTCTAATCATATTGATATAGTAAATCTATATTATATATTACTCTGCACTAAAGAAAACAATAACTGAAATAGTCTCAGACATAAGTTTTTTTTACTTATTTCGTTTCATTTTTCAAAAAACGAAAGAAACCCTCTTTTTATCCCGTTTAGATGATTTATAAACAGCCGTACACAGCACCATTCACGACCATTATAAAAAGTAACGTAAAATGATGTTATATATTAACGTACAAATATCGTAATGAAAAAATGAAAACTATATTCAAATATCAAAGCCGTCTTAGAGCGAAAACGGCTCGCAGACAGCCTTGTTCTCGTTCAGTCAATGTGACCGTCAATGTGCGGGGCGCGGTGCAGTATCTAAAGCTAGGGAGGGGCGGAGAGTGTCCGTTCTCATTAGTCTTATTTGTTCTCTGATCGTAGCAACGAAATTCATTCTTGGACACTGCCTAGTAAATCTTGAATGATTATTTATAAATCGATTACGATGACGTGATCAAGTTTATATATTTATTTATACAAGTTTACAATATAGACTGGTCATCGGTTACACAGAATTGTAAAGTGAACAGAAATGTAAGTTTATCTACGTGTGAAATTCAGACAGTAAAAACATGGACAGGTGCACTGACTTCGTACTAATAATAAATGTTAACATCCAGCAAACAGTAACTTCATGGCAATAACAACAATTGCAAGGGTTAATCTTATTTTTTTTTGTAATAAAACTATAAGTAGATCGTCAGAGATATATAAATCACATCACTATCACTTAGTCAACAACAGTTTCGGTCATTTATTTATATGGCATTCAAAACAGTACCTACAATAAAAGCGGCAAATTTTAGGTAGGTACAGTCACAAATATGAAAAAGTAATAAAAGAAACTGCATATCGCCTTTCTAGTACTGTGGACGAAATAAAAGGCGGGACTTATGGTAAGCAAAAGCGAAGACGAGACGTGTGAATTCTGGGGAATACAGAATTAATTGTATCTATGTTATACATATGTTAACGTACCTACTATAACATTTATAATTGTAGAGGTAGGTTTGAGAAGCACCTTAGGTTGTGACGGTGTGACCTACTTGTTCGTCATCCCACCTTTTATTTAAATTTCTTATTTTATTCTCACACACGCATTTAAATTCAAATTTTGAATTGTTCCATTCTTTTGCCTCGCATTCAGATTTTGTTTCGTTCCATCGTCACTACCTGCCCGATCGCGGCAGATAATACATCTTCTTGCTTTTTTTTTAACCGTTTACCATTTTACTAAAAATCTCTTGTACAATATACATTATTAAGATCATAAGTATTGTTAAAATCGCAATAAATACTTATGAAACGATTTATTACCATTACCCTTTTGAACTTTAAACTTACTAAGTAAGATGTATGGAGGCTACTAGTACATTCTATCCAACAGGATATCGCCACCAACACCAGCAGCCCTCTTACACTGGCGCCCGAACAGGGAATATTAGTGACATCTAGTGCAAACAAAAAGAACATTTAGCACTAATGCCTTACTTGTATTCGTGTCGAGCGAGATGGCGGCGCATCCTCCATGTGTTTCTATTTTAAAATTTAATAGATAATTAAATTTACAGATAAAGACAGTTTTGATAAATTTATGTTATAAGACGTCTTATTTATATACATTAAATAAAATTATAAAAATAAAAATGTGTAACCAGTATTCCAATTTCAATAATTTGGCAACATCGTTTCAGCAGTTTGTCAGTCCCAGAGCCGTAAAAACCAATAAAAAAGGTTAGTCAGTTTTGTTTACATCTTTCGAAGAGCTCGTTGTCATAGCTAACTGAAACTCTAAAATTTTGCTACAATGGTGCTTTCATTCCCAAAGCAAACTTGAGTTATTAGTCCAAATTGTTTCTATTGTACGCAACTGAAAGAGCTGTATAACCAAAATGCGAACAGTGCCGAAGTGGGTGAATAAAATTCACGAAGCCGACAAGGTAGAGTTCTCTAGGTAAGTTCTTTTATAAAAGTAGTAAGATATAGTATTAATGCTATACCATTACTTAAGTATTTCAGTTTAGATTTCACAATTTTACATACTCCTATATAGTCATGTAAGATAGAATCGTTATCTAACCTCAAGAAAAAACTTTCACATAGTTTTAGTTGCATACTTTATAATTTGCAAATAACTGAAAATGTTTACGTGTCAAGTTACTACTTTTCAGACAACACACCATTGTTCATCTTCCTGTTGCCATTCATGAAACAGTAGATAATACACATAAAAATAAGTAAATATCAGCAAATAAATTGCTTGAAAACTAGAATCTAATATAAAACGACTGTATCGCTTGACTGTATGGCACAGTACTGTAGAGTATTACAAGGACAAAAACAAATGATCAAATTCAACTTTAGCTACATAAAAGTGTTTATTCATTTGCAGTGTACACACACTATGCTTCAGTCCAGATGGAACACAGCTTGTAGTAGGCGCAGGAGAGAAGGTAATGGTCTATGACCCCCGTGATGGAGCCCTAGTACAATTGCTGCAGGCCCATAAAGGAGCTGTACATGCTGTGGCATACTGTGGAGATGGGAAAAAATTTGCCAGTGGCAGTGCTGACAAGAACGTAATTATATGGACCTCTAAGATGGAAGGTGTACTAAAATATTCGTAAGTTTCAGTTGTAATGTTAGTCTTTACAAGACAATACTTTAGCACAAGAAACAGAATTCTCCTATTGACAAACCGTATCATAATGGATGCAATAAAAAAGTACAAAAATGGGTACTACTCTCTACAAAGATAATTTACAAAAGTTTTGGTACAATAACTTAATACTAAAAGATTACTTTGAGAGAACTGGAGTTTGCACTAGCAAAAAACCTGTGTTGCGAATCTGCAGCCTCTCCACCACCTAAATCTACATATATGTACTACAACTGTTGTACAATAATTTGTTAAATAACTAAAGAGTATGAGTATTAAGTGTATATTACTTGAGATTGCTAAGACAATATTTAAGAAGTGTGTGTGTGTGTGTGTGTGTGTGTGTGTGTGTGTGTGTGTGTGTG